GGTCGAACTGTCAGGACCAATAAAGAAAACTATTGAAAGCCAGCTTGTTCGTGCGTGTTCGTAAAAACTAAAAAGGGCAAAGAACTGTTATGCTCTTGAACAAGAAACTGGCATCCTTAGTCTGGTTGCTGTTTATGTATTTAAAGCAGTTAGAACTTGACGATGTTCACCTCATCCTATTTGAACACCTTACTCTAAATGATAGTCCTCTTTTCCTATTTGTTGAGAACCCATGCCAACCTTTTGGCATTCTTCTGCTTAGGCAATAGTTTGGTTTGCTTTGAGGCCATTAGTGTTTCCTTAGAGGCCTTTTTCTGCTGCCTGAATGTGTCACTTTTTTCGCATATACCCTATCCTACTGGTGTGTGTGTCGTTCTTCTGTGCAATATTTGCTGTCCTGATAGAACTGGAGTATGATTGCACCATCTATTTTATTTTGTCGCTACAGACCCATCCGCAAGCGCCGTGAAATTCTGGAAGCCAACATGACAGTCGTTCCCGATCGTGTGCTACTCTCCGAAAAGCATAATGTTTCGGTGAGTACCTTCTGGCCCTTGACTGGTTCTGTCTTAAATCTGGGCCATATCCATCCTCTTATAACTATGAAGTTACACTGCCACCTCAAATGGTTCTTTTGGCAGTACATTGTAGCTGTTTTCGCTTTAGTTAGTTCTATGGCCACTGACAGAACCGCGTTTTTACTTTTGGGTACCTCCTGGGCAGTCGTAGCCTAAAGTTCCCTTCCCTTGCCTCCGTTTACACTATTTTCCCTCAGTTGCGGCTGATCCAGGCCATGTTTCCAGTGCCGTTTTCACTTAGTCGAGGAGTATATTGCGATTTTTGAACAGGATTTACCTCAACTTATACTAATGTTTGCATCTAGTATTGCCAAACTCCATAAAATATCAGGCGCACTGCACACAAACTCGAGATCGGATCTCTGACTTTGACGGCTCAGTCCTTACTTCCATTGCCTCCACTCACCTATCCGTTGTTAGTTAATGAATGCATTTGCTTCAGAATCTTTTGGTTCATCAGAAAAATTATCAAATTTTCATCTTGCTTCAATCTCAGTGCCTTATTCGAGTCTGCTTATCCCGAGCTAATTACAAATACCTTGCCTTAAAAAGCAAAGAACATGGCCGCTGCATCCCACCGCATAATTGGGCTAGCAGAACATTTTCTCAGAACCGAATACATCCGCCTTCTTAATGCCTGTACCAAGTCCAGCTCGTATGGCTGCCCATGAATCCAGGATTCTGTTAAAAACTAGTTTGTCCTGCCGACTGCCTATCCAGAATCGCTGAAACTATGGCTCCCGTTAGCCCCTACACTGATGGCGCTGGGCGTTTTTTTATGTTGACAACCTAAAGACATGTCCCCCTTTTTCTTCCCCCAACTACCGTTGGCCGTATACGTTGGTCCAACATGAGGCTTCTATCTTC